TGTACATAATGAACACTGTGGGAGACTGATGTTGATCCAAATCGGAGACAAATGGCATGTTAATGATTATATCACTCACTTACACATAGAAACCAATTTTCAGTAGTAGCCTTTCTTAATTGTAAGAGAAAATTGTAATAGAAGTATAACACCGACTCACGGGGTACTACCGTTAAGAATTTGCCCATGAATGGCAAATATCCATGTTATACTCATGCACAGACATTTATGGAAGCGAGGATAGCGAAACTAAAAAAATGCAAAAACTCGCACGCCTAGGGGAGTCGAACCATCAACACCACCCTCACTGACCGATTGAGAATCCTCCACGCTATCCACTAGGCCATCCGATCGTTGTAGCTGAACACCGCTCCGATCGTTGAAGAAACCATTCCGACAAGCCGCTCAGAGCCGTTCACTCTCAATCACGTGCGCAAGTAAGACCCCATTTGCGACTATTTTCCTCCTCGATTCCTATAGTGCCTTTATAAGGACCCTCTACTCAGCAACTGGTCAAAGTTGCAAGTGATTTGGAGCCCAGAGGGGCTCAAAACCAATCGGCTGTACCGGAAACACTTGTAGACAACGTTTGATGGCAAGTTTTCAAATGATTTCTTGTCATATTTTGGTAGTTTGACAACGGAAATGTGCCCCGAGCAGTGCCCATCTTAGCTTCGGGTCTCTAGTTTCCACAATATTCATTGTTCTACTTCACTGTATGGTTTCACTGATGTAGCTAGGTTTTATGAAAAAAAAGCATTCGTAGTTGTGAACGTGACCAACTACATACAAGTACACCCATTCCACCTTTCAAGGCGATGGGGCGAACAGCTCGAACGTAGTACCGCCTCCACTTAGTTTACTTTAGCGAGCTTTGAAAACCCTTTCTACATACACTTATGAGCACCGAGGTGCAGCATCACCGAAGTGCTGAGCAAGAGTATAAGAAAGATAGATCAGGCCTATCCTTACATCGAAGTCCTCACAGCGACATCCGAAACACACCAGTCTTCTTCCACCCAGACAAAGGAAATTATCGGCGTAGTTTCAATGTGATGTTTTCAACGCACCTACGACAGACCGACAATTCAAAGGGCGGTGACTTTAGTTACGGTGCCGTGGTGGTAATACTGAAGTTACCTTCTTGTGGGACTTGATTAGGGCGGCAAGGGTCGCGACGCGGCTGCGGCGCGTCACGACCGCGGCGATCAGCTGTTTCCAGCCTAATTTGGCCATTTTCTCCCTAATTTTCACTGTATTTTCTATTTTTCAAGGTTAGTTGTTTTATTGTCTTTATGAAGTACATTAGGGCGTGGAGTCTTTTTTTTGTTTCTGTAATAGAGTGTTTTTGCGATTTTTTTTCAGGTGTTTGTTCAATTGTCTGCCTAACTGTTTAATTGTGCGCAAAAAACAGAGGAATCTCAATCATAATTTACCTTGTGAAGACAAGAAACAACTAATCTTGAGAAAAGCAGCCATAACAGTGTAAATTAGGGAGAAAATGGCTAAAATAGGCTGGAAACAGCTGATCGCCACGGTCGTGACGCGACCAGTCCGCGTCGCAGCCCTTGCCGCCCTAGTCAAGGACGGAATTCTATCCCTAATTCACTTAAGACAGTGTCAGGTCATCCAAAAAATGCACTGTTTATTGATCGTACACTTCACGAACATTTAATTTCTTCTGCTGCTGCTTCGGTACCTCAGAAAGGGCAGAAAGCTAGTGTCAATAACGCTCACTTTTCTCACACTGGCGTTCAGTTGCTTAAATCAGCGAAAAACAAGTGAGCATGAGGAACGTATGCACCATCTAGCAGAGCATGGAGTTCTCTGTAATATACAACGATGCATCGCAAAAACATTTCTCCTCTCAAGCAATATTTTTGTCGAAAAAAGGTGTTGTAGGGTTTCGCAACGTAGGATTTGAATGCATTGTATGTATAGAGATTATCCATGCAATATCCCGCGCAATGTACGGAGCATTGTGATATGACTATCCTTGTGTTTTTATGTTGTCAGTTCTCTCCGGTTCAGTTCCACAATAAATCTTCTACTCCACTGGTGTCTTCGGCTACAACAACATCTACAACAACTGGCGATCAGCGGACTACGACGCGGACCAGCCGACGACAGCAGCAGAGGACCAAGAAGATCGTCTACTGCAGCTCTTCCCAGAAGAAGGACTCCAGCTCCGGCTTCACGCCTGGTCGAACTGCTGGTCGAGTCCTAAAAACAGCGTTCGAGCGACGAGCGGAGAGCTGCTGAGTCGAGGAACACTCAGCCCTGGCAGTGAGCTCTGTCGATTGCTGTGCGCGTGATCAATATATCGATCACTCTCGAGCAGCTGATCGGATTACTCGCGATAACCGCATCAGACGGTTATTGTGAAGTGTGTGTCTGTGTTGACGAACGCGACGTCTAGTGAACTACGACACTGAGAATGGATGCAGAAACGTTACGAGCCATTCTCGAGGCACAAACAAGGATGCAGCAGCAGATGTTCAGCGAACTGATCAATCGCATGGAAGCAATGGTCACTGCTTCGCAACCCGCAGTCTCGACAGCTCCCGTCTCAACAGCCGAGTTCGTCACGAACTCGCTCTCATCGCGTCTCCCCGAATTCGTCTACGATCCTGACAATGGCTGCACATTCGAAGTCTGGTTCAATCGATACGAAGGACATTGCAAAGGACGGAGCCACGCTAAACGACGCAGCGAAGGCTCGGTTAATCGTCTCTAAACTCGACGCCGTCACTTACGCACGGTTCACGAACCACATCCTCCCGAAAAGGGCATGCGACGTTGCCCTGGAAGACACTGTGGCAATCCTGAAGGACCTGTTTGGCCACAATACGTCAGTTTTCGCGAGACGCTACGTATACCTGAAGACTCAACGAAATGGAGAGAACCTGCGAGACTACACCGGACTTGTCAATCAACGACACACGATGGCCGAATTCAACGACGTCACTCCCGAGCAGATGAAATGCTTGGTATGGATAAGCGGATTGGTCGCCCCTGAAGATACCGACATACGAGCACGTGCTCTCCGCAAGATGGAAGACAATCCAAGAACAACGCTAAAGGAGCTCGCCGCTGAAATCCAGCAATTCCTCGACATTCGCCAAGATGCCGCACTACTCGAACGAGCCGCTCCACCGCACGTCAACGCCGTCGACTCTCACAACCAGAAAGGACAAGGATCGCGAGCCGCCTTCACCCTGTTTTCGATGTGGAGCAAATCACTGGTCGAGGGAATGTCCTTTCCTGAAGAAGACGTGCTACGACTGCAAAGCGACGGCCACAAGCGAGGATTCTGCAAGAACTTCAAGAGGAAGAGGAAGCAGAAACCGCAACGGAAGCGAAGATCTGCCAACAACGTCGTCATCACCTCAGCTCATGCTGATGTCGCCTCCGTATCACGCATCTATCGCCCAGTGGAAATAAATGGAAAGACGACTGCAACTTCGTCATTGATGGTCAACGAGGACGAGGTACCTGCTATGTAGCCGACACGCCATCGTTATTGGGCCTAGAGTGGATTGCCCAACACGAGCAACTGTTTCGTCATCTAACGGAAGGATCGATCTACAACGTATCGTCGACGCTCAGCACACTGAACACTTCTCTCACTACGCGCCTGAAGAAGAATTTTCCAGCAGTCTTCACGGGACGATGCACCAAATCGACTGCTAAACTTGTGCTGAAGCCCAATGCGAAGCCTGTGTTCCTGAAGGCTCGCCCTGTTCCATACGCTGCTATGCCGAAGATTTCGAACGAAATCGATCGCCTGGTGTCTACACACGTCCTGACGCCCATCGACCACTCAGAATGGGCAGCACCAATCGTCGCCGTTCAGAAGAAAAATGGATCGATCCGACTATGCGCAGACTACTCAACTGGACTGAACGACGCACTGGAACAGCACCAGCACCCACTTCCAACCCCAGACGACATCTTCACGAAACTCAACGGAGGACGTTACTTTTCTCAACTCGACCTTGCCGAAGCATACCTCCAGTTGGAAGTGGACGACGACTCTAAGAAGCTGCTGACAATCAATACGCACCGTGGACTCTACCGTTTCAATCGACTACCGTTTGGAGTGAAGCCCGCACCTGGCATCTTTCAACAGTGCATGGACGCACTCATTGCTGGAATAGATGGAACTGCCGCCTATCTCGACGACATACTGGTCACTGGCAAAACCATCGACGAACAAAACACTCACAGTGTTCAAGCGAATCCATGACTACGGATTCCGTGTTCGGCTCGACAATAACCTGCCTCGGGCTCGTCATCAACGCGCAAGGACGACGCCCTGATCCGGACAAGATCAAAGCCATACAGAAGATGCCCGCTCCAACAGACGTCAGCCAGCTTCGCGCTTTTCTAAGGACTCATGAATTTTTACGGCAATTTCGTCAAAAAACTGCATGCATCGATCTTCGTGCTCCGCTAGTCGCCCTTACGAAGAAGGATGCTGTCTACATGTGGTCACCGGAGTGCAAAACTTCCTTCAACAAGATCAAGGCAACACTCAGCTCGGATCTCCTGCTGACTCATTACGACCCGGCTCTACCGATCATCGTAGCTGCCGATGCTTCCAACTACGGAATAGGAGCGACTCTCTCTCACCGCTTCCCAAATGGATCCGAGAAGGTCGTCTACCACGCAAGCCGTTGCCTGACACCAGCACAGAAGAACTACAGCCAGATTGAGAAGGAAGCACTCGCTCTCATCTTCGCCGTGCAGAAGTTTCATCGCTTCATCCACGGACGACACTTTACGCTGAAGACCGACCACAAGCCACTCGTCGCAATCTTTGGAAGCAAGAAAGGGATACCAGTCTACAGTGCCAACCGTCTTCAGCGATGGGCCACGATGTTACTCAACTACAGCTTTCACGATCGAAGTACGTCAACACGAAGGATTTCGGGCAGGTGGACGCTCTCTCTCGTCTTATAGCGTCGCACTCGTCAATACCGGAAGATTACGTGATCGCCTCCGTCGACGCCGATGTCACCGCCGAGTTCACAGAAAACTGTCGACATCTTCCAGTATCTGCCGAATCCATCCGGACCGCTACGAAAGCCGATCGACTGAGCCAAGAAGTGATCGACTACACGAAATCCGGAAAATGGCCCAAAGTCAACCGCGACTCTCCTTTATGGCACTACTACAATCGCAGAGACACTCTTACGACAGTGAACGGATGTCTGCTCACCGCATCCCGCATAGTGATTCCAAGATCACTACAACATCGTGTTCTAATAACTCCACAAGGCTCATCCAGGACGAGGATGAAAATGCTCGCAAGAAGCTACGTCTACTGGCCGACACTGGATGCCGACATCGAACGCATGGTCAGGACCTGCTCCAAATGTGCTTCAGTTGCCAAGGATCCCGTCAAAGCTGAACTACATTCCTGGCCAAAACCGACTTCTCCATGGATGCGAGTGCATGCTGACTTCGCCGGACCGATGGAAGGACGATATTACCTGATACTCGTGGATGCCTACTCCAAGTGGCCTGAAATTGTCCAGATGTCAACAATTTCTTCATCAGCCACAATTCAGTCAATGATGCACATCTTCGCCGCTTCGGAAATCCGGCCACACTCGTCACGGACAATGGACGCAGTTCACATCTTCACAGTTCACTTCGTTCTGCCGTTCGCGAGGAATCACACACATTCGCACGCCGCCGTTCCATCCGCAGAGCAACGGACAAGCAGAACGCTTCGTGGATACCTTCAAGCGAGGACTCGCCAAGTTGAAGGGGGAGGAACCGACAGACGACGCTCTGCAGACTTTTCTGATGGCTTACCGCTCTACGCCATGCCCTTCTACACCAGATCAACGATCACCTGCGGAAGCCTTCCTTGGACGCCGACTGCGGACCGAACTTGACTTGATGCTGCCACCAGAAGACGTCACTATGGGAGCACGAGATGTCAAGATGGAAACTCAGTTCAATCGTCGAAATGGAGCACGACGCCGCAGCTTCAAGGTCAACGACGCTGTTCATGTCAAGGATTATCGAGGACCAAAGCCTTCATGGATACCTGGAACCATCGTTCGTCGCGTTGGAAACACCACCTACGTCGTACGCTGTGGAAGCAACTTATGGCATCGACATGCGAATCAGCTGCGACAAGGATCAACACAACAACGACAAACGCCTTCATGGAAGTTTTCGATCTACCGCTGTTCGACTCCGCGAGCAGAGACAATGTGGCACCACCGACGACGACCGAGCTGCCTCATCGATCACGACGTGTCCGACGACCTCAACGCCGACTCCAGCTGGACCCTCAAAGGTCCCGATACGTGTTAACTTAAAGGGGGAGGTGTTGTAGGATTGCGTAATGTAGGATTTGAATGTATGTTAGAGATTGTCCCATGTAATATCCCGCGCAATTTACGGAGCATTGTGATATGACTAACCATGTATTTTTATGTATCTCTCCGGTTCAGTTCTACAATGAATCTTCTCCTCCATTGGTGTTCTTCGGCCACAACAACATCTACAACAAAAGGCGTCATCGCTTACAGGCTGAACTAATACGTGAATCTTTCAAGCATGCTATAGCATACTCTGGAAACCAAACATTACAAGTAACAGAAATTAGATGGCAATAATTGAAAATAATTAATTGATAATTGAAAGCAACAAGATGCACATTGGAACAAATCTGCACCAGTTTCGCCCAGTGTCGTTCATTATTAGCTACCTCTTGCTGAGTGACAGTTGATAAGAGCGATTGTGAAGTGTTGACCGGAATAGCGTTTTGTAGAAAGTTTTTGCTATTATTCAGTTCCTGAAGTACTATTATTCAGTTCCTAGAGTTTTGTTTCCTCTTTTTTTCAAAAGGCATGGCGACAAGAATAAAGTCTTTAATTTATTCTGGCATGTTTGAAATACATCAGTATGCCCCACTGAAACAACATTCTTCCGGGGAGTTGTAGTCTTCGAATATCTGTTCGCTAGTACATTAGCAACAGCGAAGAAAGCACAGAGCGGGTTCACGACTCTGTAGAAAACTGTATACTATGTCTAACAGGCTCTCTTTTAGGGACATTCCGCACTCGACTAGTAGGCGGAATCTTTCTTGAACAAGGTGGTTCGGGTTCGGTGCGAACGCTTTTTACTTCTTTCCTTTTCGGCTCAAAAGTGAGGGGTGAAGTCGTTGAGGTCATCACTAGCAGTACACGCTCTGCGATACGCAATCCATCTGCATCGGCTACATCCATAGATAAAGGGTGTTTTGCTCGCATCTGCATGGGACCGTTATCTAATCTTTGAAGCGTCGTGTCTGTCATTCCGCTGTTCTTCCCACTTGCCCGTGGTTGTCAGCCCACGCTGGCAGTGCATCTTCACTTCTCACATCCAGTCCAGCAAGGAAACCCAAAAGCTAGAAAGAAGGCCTTAATCAAGACGGTTTCGACAGACGAATCTGTTTTTTCCTCATATAAGCTATCATCAACATTCGAATCCACTACTCACGACTTGCGTCGGCGAACGTGTGGGGAACGGTGCTTCTAGCTGTACTCAGCGTGGTTTGATTATGAAATCGCACCCGACACCGGCGCTAAGTGACCGCAAGCAAAAACGTTGCGGTTTAGCAATGGAATACCAAGTACTTTTCAAATACTAATGAGGTTTTAGGTGAAAGTCGCAAGCTTAACTTATTTCAAAAACTGATCGACCACTACGTGTAATCAGTCTAATAAAATGATTCGTTTTGAGTAGCATCTCCAACAACTGTCCGATTTCAGCTTCGTCAAAACGATCGCAGTGAATGTAAAGCTCGCAAGACATTAGGTGTGATCATGAGTGTGTTCATCTTCTGTTGGTTGCCATTCTTCTCGCTAGCGTTGCTCAAGTCATGTTTACGCCTTCAAGTGCCGTACTGGTTAGATGTGGTCACATTGTGGCTAGGATATTCCAACAGGTAAACCAGTCAGATTGTTTTTTCAGTAATATCGCATGTAATAAACTTTTTGCAACTATGTAAAACCACAATATCTGTTCTGAAGAACAGTGATTATTGATGCCGTCTCAATAATACTATTGACACCGCATCAGTAACCACTGTTTTTCAGAACAGATATTAAGGTCAACTCATTTAACACGTTCGGAGCGACGCCGTTCCGCCAAAAACTCCCGTTTGTCGAGCGGCGCGTTCGGGGCGGGCGATTGACGCTAAAACCCCACTTTGGAGAAACTCCCCCCCCTGTGGCCGTTTTGCTTTTAACATTTTCTTGTACTTCTTTCTATAGGAAGTCTTAATGCTATTCTTCGGTCTACAAAGTGGGTTTTTTTGACTGAGCTCGATTAGAAACGGACGGAGAAGATTTCTACCAAAACTTATGTACAAATAAAATGCAAATAAATAAGTTATACTACGAACATTTTTCTATGAGTTTTATTGTAATGTTTCCCCCAATCTACTCAAAATTTGCTCCCTTTTTACTTTTGGAAAAAAGCTGGTTTCGATTAGGAAGCTAATTTGAATGGCGTAATCATACGAATTTCAACTTTCTCAACAAAATCAACTCTTTCAAAAACAGTAAATATCGGTGGTGAAATTTGTGCATTATTATTTTGCATTATTATTATTATTAATATGATTATGCATATCTTTTTCAGCGAGAAAAGAAGAAATCGTAAGAATGCAAGCGAAAAGGCGCATGTAGTGGCCTATGAGTTCGCGATGCGCCCAAAGAAAAGCTTTTGCGTGTTTTTCCGAAAGTACACGCTCCTTCGAATGTGCTGATATTATTTCTCTATTTTTGTATTATTATTTACGCCCGGTTTTCAGTGAAAAGGAAAAAATACCAAAAACAAGCGAAGGGGCGCGTGTACTTCCGTGATACACGATTCGCCGAAAGAGGATTTTTTTGTGTTCTTTTGGGAGTACACACCGCCTCGAACGTGTTAAACACGTGGAGATATATATGGAGATGTCAGGAAAGCAGAATTCAGGGGCCATGGGCCCCCGCATGATTTGGAAGCTCGTCTTAGCTGAATACTCGTTTAGTTTGACCAGCAGAGTCCGACAGAGTAGCTGAAGAAAAGCTTGAGAATTTGAAAAGAAAGAGTGGTGGAAATCAGCGCTGCGTTATTGAACCAGGCGTTATATAAGGAAAGTGCACTACTCAAAGTAAGTCCGTCGCTGACAAATAATCACGCAGAACACCGTTTTCAAAAAGGGCTGTGGGGGATTTGCTGCAGAAGTCTCCGGAAAAAGAAGATTGAAGGAATGTTTTAGCCGAGGAAGACCCCTTCATCCTGCACTAGGAAAGCGGCTGGATATACCATAGCCAAGCTTCCCCCGTGACCTACTCTCATGCTGCAACCGTTGGTTGAGTTGCGCCTGAAATATTGAGTTTGGTCTGAAGGATGTGCGAATGGACCTTATTCTACCTCATTCATTCTACCTCATTCTCTAGGGCAAAACCATTTTGACGCCTGTAGCAGCATTGACGAATTTACTACAGACTTTCAACCGTGAGAAGGCTGAGCCATATCATCAAGGATGGCAGTTGTGACATCAGAATGGGTAAAGTTGAATTAGTCCGGATGAGTCCTTAACACCCGGGAGAGGCATAACTGCAGGATCTTGGGTGGCACTGAGAAGGAGAACTTCACATTGCCTTGTACATGTCAAAGTACGTGTCACACGAAGAGCTCGAATGTCACCACCGATGGAACGTCCCCACTCCCAGTTGTTGGGTTCCTTCCTTATTTTGCTTCAGTTGCGAACTTCACCACCTAACACATCGTTGCACATCATATAACAGGCAGATTTCCGAAAAATTTTTGATTGATATGAATTTCTCGATTTTCCCGTTTCAGTCCGCACTATATACCCCCTCCCCCACCCCACCATTTCACGCATTTAACAACGCTCTATCTACATCGAACATATCGAAGGAAAGTCTTCACACACTGAGCCTCTAATACTCGGCATTAAAGCGGTAAGGAGTGATAAAAATGTAGCGCAGATGGTATCTTATCCATTCTTATCGAATGATATGATTACCTGCCACCCGTCATCAATGTCCTTATCACTAAATCCTTATAATTTGGTAATGTTAAAGCTGCACCGCCTTGAACAGCGACGACGACTGAACGTCTCTTATCAGCCCCTATCAGTTGTTATCGCTTCCAGCCACCCACGGTTGTTGTCCCGCCTCACCCTAGATATCTTTGCTGAAATGAACGCCTCGCATTATGAATATGGTGACCTTCCCCCATTCTGAAGCCCCTTATCGAATCTTATCAGCAGCTCGCAGTTCTTGTCACCCAAAAATAATGTTCTTGGCCCGTACTCTACATCATATCTTGGAATCAAGAGCTAGCTGATGCTGTCACCCGCGTTATGAATATGGTAACCTTCTCCTTCTAACGCCTCTTATCGGATCTTATCGGATCTTATCAACTGATATCACTTCCTGTCACCCACCAATAGTGTTCCCGTCACACCCCTACATTATATCTTGGAACCAAAATCTCACTGTTACTGGGAAAGGCGCTATGAATTTCGTGACACAGACGCACGGACACACACACACACACACACACACACGC